TTTTTTTTTAGGTTTTTCCGAGTCATTCAGAGGATGAGGATGGAACTTTAAAGTTCTGTGACTCTTCCTCTGTGGCAGTTTCTCTGTTGTTTCCTCCTTTTTTAATTCACACAGTGCTTAAAATAAGAAACACATGACATAATGGACTAAAAATGTATTAATCAGCAGCCAGATTTTAAAGAAAATCTTTGAAAAAATCCTAATAAAAGAGATGAAAGACTCAGATTTGTTTAAAATTAAAACCAACATTTTCCTGGATGACTGACTTTATATCATTTTATAAGTTTGAAAAACCTCTAAAAAAATCACTTTTAAGATTTTACAAGCAAGTCGTTATCACTAGAAGAAAAATAAAATTATTAATGTGTTTTCAGTATTTTGACTATAAAAGTAAGGGAAACTGATTAATTGTTAAAAATGAGGGCCTTTTCTTACATCAGCCCTTCAATTTGATTTTTATTTTACTCATTCAAGATCAAAAACAGGAAGTAATTCATTAATTCATGAGTGAAATCAAGATGTTTTGATTATTTTAAAATAAAGTGACAAGCCAACAGGACACCCCTCCTGTTTGTGACACGTGCTCGTGTTAATAATAGTCACTGATTACATGGAAGTCGTTTCTGTGTCTTGACTTGATGACCACAGTGGCTTCTCCCTTGATGCCCTTCAGCTTGTCTGAGTCGAAGTTCGCCATGAGCTTCCTGACCCCGGTCTTAAAGGGTGTGAAGGGCACGACCACGGACACCTTCTCACCGGGAGAAATGGCATGACTGAGAAAGAAAACAACATTAGAATCTCTTCTCACAGTCTAACATGAACTAAAGAGGACAATCAGATTTGAGACAAGCAGAAGTAACGAGCAAAGCCTTGGATTTGGTCCCAGTAACCTACGTGACATAGATGTGGGTGTCAGACAGCAGGCCGGACCCCTCCAGGGTGAACACCCCTTCATTCAGAGGGCCTGGCAGAGGATTGGTGAAGGAGACGTTGGCCGACACCGGTTCCCAAACAAAAGTCGTTCCAATAATCTAGAAAACCAGGAGACACTTTCGTTTAAAATAGTTCAGACAAACAGAAAGGCCTTACAGGGCCCGGTGCACTGTCTTCCACCTGCAGAAGAACAGCCAGAACCAAAGCTTTCTGCAGAGTTGTTGAAGGAATCCAATGAAGCTCATTATTTTTAAGACTTCCTTTTGAAATCTAAACAAAAAATATGTGTAGAATCTGAGGAAATATTGTGTTTAAAAACAAATCTCAAACATTTGGTTGGCTCAGAAATCATCATCAGACTGATTGAAGAGATGTTCAGCAGCTCAGTCATGGAAAGTCCAACTTCCTGTGACCAGTTTAAACTCAAACTGATGGTTCTGTTATGATGGCTGAGCTACAGATCCAAACAGGATCTCAGATCATTTTATCTGTTTGCCTAGATTTGAAATTATGCTGGTATGAAAAGTAACATCTCACTGTTCTCGGTCCAGTTGCATGTTTTCATGTATTTTTGATGTTTTTTCCAAACCTGCAGGAGAGTCGACAAACTGATAATCAGCTAAAATAAACAAAAATAAAATCTAAAAGCCTAAATTAGCTACAGTGTAACTAAAACAAGCAAAAGAGTAGATAAAGATGAAAATTGAAAATAGAACAGGTTTAAATTAACATGTTTAAATTAAATCCATAATGCTTGGAGAAACTACATAAGCTCATACTGCTTGAACATAAACAAATGCCGGTTCTGGTCCACGCCAGAAGTTGCACCCATAATTCACGCAAGGCAGCATGGGAGCTAGGAAGGTGGATAAAGTTGAATTATTCAAAAAATATAACAGTTGCAAACACTAAAAGTCATAATGCTCAAATCCCAGATGAACTGAAAGTTTGAACAAACAACTGGTTAAAATGGCACAAAGTGTGGGGAAGTTCCAAAAGGTAAAGAACAAGAAACAGCATCATTCACACACTAAGGGTGGTTGTACTGTGGCACCATAATGACATGAAGGGTCTACTAAAACATTCTGACTCCTCCAGTCTTTGGGGATCTCTGGCCTTACTCACCTGTATATGGATCTCAGGCATTTTCAGAGGGATGTCAGACACCCTCATGAAGGGTAGAGGTACCCCCTTAGCCTCTGCCAGCACTTTCACTCTGATCAGGTGTTGGTCAGAGACACACCTGGCATAGTTCTCATATTGCAGACGCAGGATTTCTTTATGGGCTGAACACAGACCATCAGACACGGTTAAATCCACAAACATTAAGGTTGTCTTCATATATCTGTATTAGGCTCTGCGTGGGTTCATGTGCCTTGCTTACATTGGGCAGCTGGAACCGTCACATTACTGGTCTGCTTCAGGCAGTCTCCCTGGTGGATGGAGTTGTAGGACACAGCCATGACCTTCATCGTTAGCTTCACATCCACACTTTCTTCTCCTTCATTCTTCACCTGCAACCAGATAGACCAGTGAACAAATAACAAGAAAAAACACCTAAAAACAACAAAACTACATTTATTGTCCCCTGTTGTGGAGCAAGGGCAGGAACTTGAAACAACTTCCCTCTGTCCATTCGTCTGACTTGTGAGTATGATAAATTGAAAAGTGAGGAACTGACTTCCATTTTGGTGTGTTATTAAATGTAGCTGTAAGAAAGCTTTCTATCAAAAACTGGATTGCCAGGTTAAAATCCAAGACGGCCACTAGTGCAATGTTCCCTCTAATTTTTCATGTGTCTGAGTAAACACATAAGCTCCCTGATCGCACTGAGGATCACTGTGAGCAACATCAGATGTGCACGCTGTGGCCACACACCAGTATCACACCTGTTCAAAACTTGGGATCATAACAAGTTCCATGGCTTATTAAAATAATCAAATTACAGCAGCAATTTCCATTCATTAACGTTTAATACAAGTGATTTGGCCCACTGGGGTCCTCCCCCAGAAAATTTTGAATAAAGTAGATATCATACCATACATGTTCTCTCAGATTGGAGGCAGTGTGTTCAACATAATGGCACTTCTTCCAGTTATCTAACTATTAATAATGGTGTACCACAAGGCTCAGTCTTAGGACCCACCCTCTTCACAATCTACATAAGTAATGTAGGTCAGATTATTCCTGATGCATCTTTACATTTCTATGCTGACAACACATTTGTTTATTGTCGAGCTAAAACTGTTGCTAAAGTTTCCAGCTTTTGCAATCTGCTTTTGACAACATCCAGTCAGATTTGTTCCATCTCAAACTTGTTCTAAATGCTGACAAAACTAAAAGGATGGTGTTTTCAAACAGAAAGTCGGTCCCAGCAGTCCATCCATCCATCCATTTCCTTCTGCTTCCTTCTATATTATCTTCAAATGGTGTTCCTATTGAGTTTGTCGATTCTTACAAATACTTGGGTATCTTGGTTGATTTGCATCTCTTTTTTAAAGCCCCATGTCAACAACTTGGTAAAGAAACTGAAAGTAAAACTGGGTTTCTTTTGCAGAAATATATCCTGTTTAACTCTGAACACTAGTAAACACCTTGTAACTGTGACTTTCCATCCCTCCATTACCTATGGTGACATTATTTACATGAACGCTTCTGCAATCACCTTGCAGATGTTGGACACTGTCTATCACGGTGCACTAAGATTCATAACTGGCTATAACTACCGTACCCATGACCACCCTATATTCATTGGATGACTGGTCATCAGTAACTTCACGCAGACTTTCAGTGGTATGTCTTCATCTTTAAATCAGTTCTTGGTCTGTTGTTTTCATATATCTCCTCCTACATGTCACTACATGAGTGCAGCTACAGTGTGTACTCTTAGTACATTATTACATGCAGTGTACCCTCAGTGCAGACTGAATTGGGCAAAATGGCCTTCTCCTGCTCTGCTCCTTTATCCTGGAACACCTTGCAAAAAGATCTGAAGCTCTTGACGGTGACCTCTCTAAGTGCCTTCAAACAACTGCTAAGTTCATGGCAAAAACTAACGCGGATGTCCGCGTGTTCATGTTCCTGTTTTTAGTATTTTATATTGCTTTATAATGTAGCTGTTTTTGTTTAGATTTTATATAATTTCTTCAATTTATTTTTCAATGTATATGCTTTTCTATGAATGTCTACTGTTGTCATTGTCTACTGTTGTCGTCATTCTTTGTTAAAACAGGTCTCTCTTGTAAATGAGTCCTCGAGGCTCAGTGAAACTAACCTGTATAAATAAAGGTTGAATTGAAAAAATATCCCTGTTCAATTCCAGTTCAGAAAAACACTTGCATACAAAATTACAAACACTCACTATTCAAATCTCATCTCTGAGTGAGGGGGGACACTGGCATACCACTAGTTGTTTATCCTGTAAAATCAGTTACAGTCAGAGCAGTTTTTACCTCCACAGTCACATCGAAGTCCGTCCCAAACACACACTGGTCATGCCGGATTATCAGTTTCATATGTTTTGGTTTTGTGCTCTCAGTCGGCTCCAGGATCTTGCGTCCTGCTTTCAGGTACACCTCTCGTTCTTTAGCAGAACCTGTTGGGGAAACAATGATTCACAGCTTGGTTCAAGGCAAATAAAGTAACAATTATTTGACGTAAAATCTGAAAATTAGGAAGTTGAAGAGTTTGAGTCAAAGTTTGACCTTCAGGGTATTTGTATTGTAGAGTCACATCTTCTCTGAAGTCTCCATAAACGCTCTTGGTGCTGATGTTTCTCCCCACAGTTCTCTCATCCACACTAATCTGTAGAAACAACCACAGAGACACTCTTCATTAAACCTGTTCAGGTTTCCATGATTGTCTCAACTTGATGAGAAAGATGCTCAGAACCTTTTGTCTCTGGCCATTAGGTAGGATCATCCAGTTGCTGATGTCAGCATTCACCTCAGCGAACGTGAACCGAGTATCATACTTTGTTTCCAGGTTTCCCTCCTTGATGGCCTCCACTGGACTGGGACCACAGCAGAACTCACCTGAGAAAAAAACAAAGAGCCCATTCAAAGTCAGAGTTGGAATTTCTTTATTTGTCATTTGCACCACATGTGGTACATGTGGTGGAACGAAATTGTGTACACAGGGTCCCAGTTACATCCAGCAAAAGTATAAAATGTAAAAGAAAAACAGTAATAAGATCTAAGATACTGTATGAACTAAGAAAAATTTTAACTGACGTCAAAGCAAAGTAAAACGTCAAAGTGGCTGCTGCAACAATACAGGAGCAGGAAAATACTGTTCACTGTAATTCCATATATAGCAGCTTTTAGTACTAAATACACAATGAAATTGTACATTTTCTGTGAAACATCAGCATGCATGCTCTGTGTTCTGTTCAAATTTATTGATGCAGAAATTAAATTTTTTACAAAAAACCATAAAGAACGGTAAGAGGTCCCTGGATTGAACCCCAACTAGGGGCCTTTCTGGGTAGAGTTTGCATGTTCTCTCCATGCATGTGTGGGTTTTCTCCAGGTACTCTTGTTTCTTCCCACAGACCAAAAACATGCACGTTAGGCTGATTGGTAACTCTAAATTGTTCCTAGGTGTGAGTGAGAGAGTGGAGTTGTTTGTCTTGCTTGTCTCTATGATGTGTCCCTGTGATGAACTGGAGACCTGTCCAAGGTTTCTCTTGCCTCTTACACAGTGACTGCTGGCTATGGGCACCAGTGACCCAGAAATGAAGAAGTAGGTAAAGATGATGGATAAATGTATGCACGGATGCATGGACAGATAGATCTTTCTTATATCTAGATGCAGCCACACACCAAAATGGAAGTTGGTATTGTGTAAATAAAGTTTTGTTAAACATATTATTATTATTATCATTATTATTATTATTATTATTTATTTATTTATTGTATTTCTATGAAAAAAGCTTTTTTTAAATAAAGTGAAATGTATTTTACAGTATTAACCTTTATCTACACTGCCTGGCCAAAAAAAGTTGCTACCTGGATTTCACTAAGCAAATAGATACGAGTCTCCTATTGGATAATTACTGCATGGACTATCATCTTTCAGCTGGCAACAAGTTATTTAACCCCAACTGGTGCAATGAGTTGCTTCTCATTTCTTAAACAACCATGTCAAAAGACACATCGCGTGGTCATGAAAAAGATGTCAGTTTGTTTGAGAAGGGTCAAATCATTGGCATGAATCAAGCAGAGATAACATCTAAGGAGAGTGCAGAAACTACTAAAATTGGGTTAAGAACTGTCCAACACATTATTAAAAACTGGAAGCATAGTGGGGACCCATCGTCTTTGAGGAAGAAATGTGTACGGATAAAAATCCTGAATGACTGTGATCGGCGATCACTTAAACGTTTGATGAAATCAAATCGAAGAAAAACTAGAGTAGCACTCAGGGCTATGTTTAATAGTGGACGTAAGAGCATTTCCACACGCACAGTGCTAAAGGAACTCAAGGGACTGGGACTGAACAGCTGTGTAGCTTTAAGAAAACCACTAATCAGTGAGGCTAACTGGAAAAAAGACTTCAATTTTCTAGGGAGCATAGAGATTGGATTCTGGAGCAATGGAAGAAGTTCATGTGGTCTGATGAATCCAGATTTACCCTGTTCCAGAGTGATGGCACATCAGGGTAAGAAGAGAGGCAGGTGAAGTGATGCACCCATCATGCCTAGTGCCTAGTCATCAGTGCAAGATCTTGGTGAAAAATTAATGCAACACTGAATGGAAATAAATCTTGTGACATTGCAGAAGCTTATCGAAACAATGCCACAGCAAATGCATGCCATAATCAAAGCTAAAGGTGGTCCAACGAAATATCAGTGTGTGACCTTTTGTTTGGTGGTGACTTTTTTTTTGGCCAGGCAGTGTATATCCAAGATAACAGGATAACTAAAGTACAAAAAACAAACCAACTGTAATAATGGTGAGATCAGTTTCACAGCCAAAGAAAACACTGAGCAGTCAATGATTCTATTGGGATTTAAAATCAAAGCGTTGTTCAAAATGTACCTTCGCTCAGTTCCTGAGGTGTTGGGTCCAGAGCCTGCCAACCATCGTTTCCCGGAGAGAGATCGTTTCTCCTCATCCAGGTCTCCACCCAGCAGTGGAAGTTCCTGAAGCCAAAGAAGAAAAAGTGTAAAACACACAGTCATAACTATTTAATGGTCAGTACACCCATGAGTTATCCAACATCAAACAGACCCTTTAACATGAGCAACATCATCCAACATTTTGTTGTTGGTAAATAAATTTAAGCCACAAAATGGAAACAACAGACCTACTAACCGAGGTCTGCATAGTTCAATTCAATTCACTTCAATTTATATAGCACCGATTCACAACAGAAGTCATCTCAGGGCAATGAACAGAAAC